TGATAATTTAGGCTTTCTATGGTTACAACTGAAGATAAGCTAGAGAAAATTTCTCTATATTACTTGCATGCCTCGATTTGCTCTTGAAGTAGCATTATCTTAAAAGAGGTTGAAGCATCACACGATTTGGTATGATTAATGCACGTTCAGATAATTATGTTCTGTTCCCTGAAGGATGAGAACTTTTGATAAATATTAATTCATTCCCCGAAGTGAATGTGACAATATTAATAAACCTCGTAAATATGAACGCGTTTTTGATGTAAATAGATTACAATTCACCTCCAGAAGAGGTAATATGATTGAGAGAATATATACTCATTTTTTCGTATTTTAAATTTACTCCTGAAGAAGTAACACAACTAAAATTTTCTCCTAAAGAAGGAAAATATTATGAAACTCTGTTTTTCTGTGCTTAAATAAAATAACAAGCTATTTAAAGTTATTTTTGAAGCGCATTTTCATTCCTTGGAGTGAATGAAGAAATACCACAACTCACCTCCTGAAGAGGTAGAATAACAAAGGATATAAATCTTGTTTTTGTGACATAAAGATCATTATCGCACGTACCCGTTGTACGTAAAATATCTTGAATAATTTTATTAAATATCATTCTAAGGCAAAAGCATTCTTGTAGAATGCTTTGTACTACAACCACATTAATATGTTGTTGTTAGTTATCAAGTTCCCCGAAAGAAATAACAACTCAGTATCTTTCCCTGAAGGATGTAATGATTATGTAGTTGTCGCTTTGATATAAAATATTCAGATATTAATGAAGTTTCTCCCTGAAGGAAATATTTGTCACAAAGTTGGTGGTAAAAATACTGAAATTCTTAATTTCTTACATTTATAAATTTAGAATTGTCTTTATAATGTTCATTTTATTATGATTTTCTCTCATGATACTAGAAGTGTTTGAGTAATATTTGATAGTACAAATATATCAAAAGCTCCCGAAGAGCTATATGTTTGTCTAAAAGACATATGACACCAGTAGTGTTCGATAAATATTAGATTGTGGATAATGAATGAAGGCTCTTGAAGAGTTTATATATAAATATGTCATTCATATTATATGATTATGGTCAAAACACATATTGTAGTAAACTTGAAGTTTACTAATACAAATGACTATCATATTGAGACTACAAATGATTGAAAGATTGAAAATCTTCATGTTTCCGCAATCATAGGGGGTAAAATAATATGTATGTGAGAAGTTACCCGCCTTATTCTTCAATTTTGTACTATATCGTGTATCAGAGTAAACCAAACGTTTACTAATGCAAAAGCAGTCATAGTAAATCAGAAATTTACTATTGCAAAAGTTTATGCCATAGTAAACCAGAAGTTTACTAAGAGATAACACATACCATGATAAACTTGAAGTTTTCATTTGCCATTTTTAAATGAGCTATTTGAGAATTCAGATAAGCATATACTAACGAACTCGAAGATTTTTCAAGAATTCTCTTGTGTTGCTTGTTCTCATAATAAATTGATTATACCAGCTAAAGCTGGGACTAAGACCCTAATCTGAAATATATAAAAGGTAAATATGGGCTCATTCACCTATCATGTGAACCACTTATAGATGCATATATGAGATAGTTACATGTATGTTTATTGTCAACCTACAGTTTGGCATTTGAAATTACTTTTATCAATTAAGAGCATAATTTTCAGATTATGAAATCAAGATAGTTCATCTTGATGATGCTGGTTTATATCCAAGCTAGTTTAGCATTGAATACCTCCTATTAATGGCTAAACTATTGCTTATGAGAACAAAGCTTCATGTGTTGGTTTAAGATTTTCTAATTGCATGCAGCCGCACTTGTATGCATCAGACCAACAATATATAATAAGTCCTCCCCTCACAATTGGTTTAGGATCAGAAACCAAATATGTTTACTATCTAATAACTTTTTATGCATGGTATATGATCAATTTCTCTACCACAAAGCACAAAGATAGGTTTTCCAAAGAAGATTTGGGATATATGTTAGTTTTTCTAACATTCGGGGGATAGAATAAGCAGTTGAAAAATATGTATATGAATCGAATTATCATTAGTATGATCCTCACTCAGAAGATAATTCAAGTCAAATGACAGAAGCATTTGTTGATCCAAAATTAAATATCATATTTCAGCTGCGAATGCTCCTATTAAAATTAAAGTCCCTGAAGGATGGAGTTTACTGTACGCATGAAGCGTGGTAGACCAATCGGTTCCAAAGGTAACAATCCTTGAAAATGATAGGAGCAAATGATCAAATGATCATAATAAGGAGGAAATGAGCTCTAGAAGAGCCCACGACATAACATTTCATGAAACTCCAGAAGAAGTTCAGGTACCTGAAAATAAAGAAAGTGATGAGATCTCAACAAGTTTTGTCGCTTGCGAACCGATAAAAAATGATCGTCGACGATATATTTAATATAATATAGTGCACAATACTGTAAAATATTGTGAGGATCGGACCAGTAGTCCAGACACCTGAAGATGTCATGCCATTTAAATGCGAGTCATAACCTATATAACTCATTTGATCAAATCTCTATAAAGATCCCTGAAGGATTTAAAATGCTTGAAGCATATAATTCAAAGTCTAAAAAAATGTACTCGATCAAATTATAAAGATCTTTGTACGGTTTAAAGCAATCTGGGCGTATGTGGTATTATCGCCTCAGTGAATATTTGCTGAAAGAAAGTTACATATATGATATTATTTGTCCATACATTCAGAATTTGATATACTTGTTGTTTATGTTGATGACATAAATCTTGTTGGAACTCCAGACGAGCTCCAAAAGACAATTGAATATCTTAAGAAAGAATTTGAGATGAAAGATCTTGAAAAGACAAAACTTTATCTTGGTATGCAGATTATACATTTAGCGGACCTGATCTTTATCCATCAATATGCCTATACAGAAAGGGTCTTAAAACGCTTTTGCATGGACAAAGCGCATCCATTGAGTACACCAATGGTTGTTCGATCACTTAAAGTGGATAAGAATTTGTTCCGACCTCCAGAAGAGGATAAGGAACTCATTGGTCCCGAAGTACCCTATCTCAGTGCAATTGGTGGACTAATGTATCTTGCTAATGCTACAAGGCCTGACATAGCATTTTCTGTTAATTTACTAGCAAAATATAGTTCTGCTCCTACACGGATTAAGGATACGTTCTTACCTCCAGAAGAGAGTGATGAACTCCTTGATCAAGATATACCCAAGTCTCTGCACTGTACTCTTTTTTCCTTGCTCGGGTTTTTTCCCACTGGATTTTTCCTGGTAAGGTTTTTAATGAGGCAGCTTGCAATGTACATTATTAGTGTACTCTTTTTCCTTGACTAGGATTTTTTTCCACGGGGTTTTCTAGTAAGGTTTTAACGAGGCACATAATAATGAACATCCAAAGGGGAGTGTAATGAAAATATTATTGTGGATGTCCATTTATTACTCCGTTGTAGATAATCTTCCTGAAGAATATTATCCATTTAGTACTCCATTGAAGTTTTCCACAAGTAGCTGCTGCAAGCAAGTTTCAAGGAACTCAATGAAATGACTTGTAGCAGCTTCTTGGTTTGATAAGATTAATTTAAATCGATCTGAAATAGTGGTGGATAATATTCTCTACAAACTCAACTTTTTGAGAAGATGGTATACAAGATTGGAATGCGGAGACTCAAATATTTGAAACAAAGTTTTCATTAGGGGGAGTAAAATACGCGATGCACTCTTTTTTCCTTACTAAGGTTTTTTTCCACGGGGTTTTCCTTATAAGGTTNTATATATATATATATATATTAAGGATGTTCATTTAGTACTCCGCTGTAAATAAGCTTCCTAAAGAAGCTTATCATTTCGGTACTCCGTTATGGATAAATATTACCCCGACCAGAAGATTATCTATATCTGGTACAGTAGCAGCCTACAAGCAACTTACAAAAAGCTTACACAGCAGCTTGCAGTAGCAACTTACAAGTAGCTTGCAGTAGCAACTTACAAGCAGCTTGCAGTAGTCTATAAATAAAGGAAATTTCAGTTCATTATGTACATGAATTTGAAATTGAATAATAAATCTCTCTACTTGTCTTCGACTTCTTTACTTTAAAGTCTTTATTTTATAACACTATAATAGTTAAAAAAGATGGTGTACATTTATTTACATTGTCGGCTTATATAAGGTAATTCTATATAAATGAATAAATAAATAAAAGAATCAATTTTTAGAGCCTAGTGTAAGCTTAATAAATCGTGTGAATACGAGTAATAGATTCTGAATACCTTTTATTTTATTTACAGTAAACAAGATAGAAAGGCAACAAGTTCTATTTGTATACGTCGTTCATTGCAAGCATGTTAACTTTGAAAAAATAGACAAATAACGAGTTATAGGCAATTAAATTAAATCGATTGTGTAAAAATTCTTTGCACATTCTAAATATTTTCATCATTTATTTTGCGCTTTTCCTCGAGAATTATAGCGTCTTTATTTAGATTTCTGCTTTTGCCGAGCTTCACATTTCATCTACTCTTGTAAAAAAAAATTAAAAACAATCTGCCCCTGAATTTGGCAAGCTAATTCTGCTATTACAGAAAAGCAAAACCAACGCCCAGTAGAGAGAACATCATGCTTGACCTCTCTTTATTCAGAACTTACAAAATATTCAAAGAGTGTGGAACAACCCCACACTCTTCATTCAAGGTTTACTATCAACTGAATTAATCGGTTCTTCACAAACAGGATTAAGTAGTAATCTCTGCTGACCGTTGCGAATCGGCTGTTCCAATGCTCCGGGAGAACTATGCAAGTCCCACTTACATTCTTTGATAGATTGTGCTGCTACCGTTTTGGCTGCATTTAGAGCTGCTTGGAATTCTTCATGATCTGATGGCTTCAGCCTCTTTGGTCCATCTTCCTTTTTCTCATGGGACCCAGAACACTGCAACCTCCTTTTTAGCACTTCATCTTTCACTCTCTGGGAGAAAATTAAGACTACATGAGCAAAAACTAAGCATAGCAAAGAACAGGTAATATTGTCGTAGGCACATCAGCCGACTCAAAAATGGAGATAAAACATGATAATGTGCGTTATGTTCTAGTTCTCTTCAACATACACAATTCACGACTAATGGCGCTAATTTCGATATAGTCCAAAAGCATATACGTCTCTATCACCCTACAACAACAACATACCCCAGTAAAAATCCCACTATTGGGGTATGGGGAGGGTAGAGTGTACGCAGACCTTACCCCTATCCCGGAAAGGTAGAGAGGCTTTTTTCCGGGAGACCCTTGGCTCAACAGAAGAGACAATAATATCAGAAAAGAAACAAACGAAAAGGTCTGTAACAACAAAAGAAGCCAGTAAGGTAATAACAACATCGTAAGAGACAACAAATAAGTGAAAGGACAATAACACAATACTATGCAAATACATCTGTATCACCCTAAGAGAGGAAAATGATATAGGACGAGGAAGCAGGCCAAGAAGAGAAAGTTCAATAAGAAAGCCATCCTGGTGCCTGTCACTCATTCTTGCTCTAGAAAGAGCTGTCATATCAGAACTTGTCTAAGAAGTGATTGTTGATATGGACTTTGAATAACCTGATGCTTCTATTTCATCTGCAGTAAATCCAATGACAACATTAAAGCAGCGATTGTTGGTTACTAGGTTCCATAGCCAAAATTCCTACTACAATAGCTTGATACAGAGAAAAAGTATCTACGTCTGATGGGAACAAGTAAAATACCTCCACATTTCTATATTATAAGTGGAAACTAGATAAACTAACAAGATACGTGATCACTAGTATACTGCAGCATACAAATTTAGTTCTCTGATAGATTGCTATTCACATAACGGATGGTCATGATCCCTCTTCTATTATTTGTGATTGTAGACTGCAAAGTTCATTTCCAAATCGACTTACTAGCTTTCTGCAGTTTCTATGAACTAACTATAAGGGGAGTGCATCAAGATGTATAAGGAATTGGGATATACAGAATGACCAAGCACAATGAGATTCTGCTAATACCCACCTCAAATACTGCACTCTCTTCCCCACTCTATCTGCATCAACCTTGATGTTCCACCAACTCTTGTCCACATCAAAGATATATATCTTGGTAAAATCATGACCAAGGAGATAAGGTGATCCTTCACATGTAAGGTTTTATCTCACTATCTAACCAGAGATATTATACTGGACATGCATTAAGCATACTATCAAAGAATAGAAATATATTAAACTTTTCTTAAAAAGCAATGGAAGGCGAAGGAAATAGATATCACCTAATAGTTGAAGCTTTCTTTTCTTGTTTAAAGAAAGAGCACAAAACTAAATGTAATTCCACATATCTTAACAGCGTTAGGAAGAAAAGTATAATATGGAAAAAGCATCAATAACAAATAGCAACATTCTATTGACACATGCAGAAGAAAATTGATTTCATCCCAAAAGATAAGAAGTCTTATGGGCATTTTGGCTCTTCCTCATTTTTCTATTATTAAAGACAAAATCAGAGAATTGAAAGTTGTATCCAAATGGATAGTAGCCAATGTAGTTTTGCTGTCAGTGTTACATAGCCGTCATACAGCAGCAGACTTTTATACGTGTTTAAATGTCATTCAAATTAAAAGCACCACTTCAACTATTTTCATATTTCAAATTGTATATTATGGCACCCGGAGAAAACTAGATTAAACACAATATGACAATCCAGTTATAAACCATTCTAATTCTTCCTCAGACTAGAACATAATTAGGCAACATCTTCAACACAAACAACTATGAACTTAGAGCATGATATTCCGTAACAAACTGTTGCAAATTTAGTGACAGCTAAAAGTCTGAACTTTCATTTGTCTTTGCAATTATGTCATATCTTGAGTATACTGTTATAGATCTGTGTGTTTTTCGTCAAATCCTTAGATGTCCTTTCTATAAAACAAAGCTCAACTCTTCATAAGTGTTTTCTTCCTAGTATCATTTTGGTTTTGATACCTGTTACTTACAACTCAAATTCAGATAGGAAAGAAAACTATGCATGCATTTTATATTCTAACTTGAATTAAACATAGTTCAAGTTCTATTGATCTACAGCAAGAAGGTGCTAATTTCAGTTATCAACAAGCTCATAAAAGCATTCAAACACTACAAAACCACTAGTTCAACAAATAAAAATGTCAAACAACAAATGACATGCATAATCAGCAGCAGTATCTAAACAACCTGTACCAACCGCGAATCGAACTTGGGAAGCCCAATTTGCCCTACAGTCAGTGATCCAAAAAAGTTCCCCAGCAATGCAGCATCCGGTACATTTAAACCATGAACAAGCCCAGCAACTAAACCTCCAAGAAAACTATCCCCAGCTCCTGTTGGATCAACTTGAAAAGCTGAAAAAGGCGCAACGGGCAATTCTTCATCTTTAGTATATACTGCACACCCTTCTTTCCCATTAGTCACCACCACACAACACCATTTCCTTGCTTCCTCAACATCTACATACGGTGCCTCCTCCGCGGAGGCCTTCAAAAACCCGATTCTTTTCAATAAAGGCCCAAACCCGGTTTGATCCAAATGTACAAGATTCACTGTTCCATCAACCGGGTCAAATACCCGAATCAAAGCTTGGATATCTACAAACACAACTTTACATATATCTATCATTCGTTCTAGGGTTTCGGGCAGAATCTCCCCACCAACACCTACAGCCAAACCAAAATCGAAATTTGATTTTGGAAGATCCGAGGGAGCTACCGGGTCGCATGCACTGATCCGTTTTAGGATCCGATCTTGGCGTTTGGTTTCCGTTGAGAAATAGGCGTGAAAAACGGTGGTTTTGGAAGAAGCTGACGTAATCGGCCGGTGATTTACGGAGTACACGAAATCGGTGCCCACTTTAGAAATGTAGTCGGAGGAAATGGACAAGCCGTCGAGGACAGCGGAGATGAACGAAACCGCGCCGCCGAGTGACTCCGCTATTACTACGTCGTCTTTAATCAGAACGTCGTGGCAGTAATTCCCCACAATTAGGCACCGGTGGGTGGTGGGTATTGATAAATCATTTGCTTCCTTCACCATAATTAATTTCAATTAAAACCAAAATCTTCCCCACTCGTTTAAGCTCAGATAAATTTGGAATCTTTATGTATTGGTAGGATTTTAAGTAAATCTAATAGAGAGTTTTTGCATGATTTTTGCTCAGCAGGGTTAACTTTTTACAGCAACATTTTTCTTTTTGTAGCCGTGGCTGTTTCTGCGCGTCAATCGGGAACATGTGAAAAGGCCAAGGGGGGAAGAGAAAAGGGTGTTGAAGAAATGATGAAGAAAAAAAGCAATTTTCGAAGATGGGAACGATACGCGGAAAAGACAAATGTTGCTCTCTGAAAACAAACTACGTGCATAAGCAATTCTGTATGCTTTACATGTGTATCTTTGCCACATAAATAAAAAGGGCGAGGAAGACAGATGAAAGAAGAGATTGCAGAAGAGTTGTACATGCAAATTGCAAATAGATTGCAAATTAAGCAAAGTTGTGAAATGGAATCTTATGCTTTAGGGAGAAAGATGGATATTAACGCATTGAAGTGCGGACCTTATTGGAAAGGATTTGATTCTGAGCCATCTTAATTTTCTCATTACTCGTAAATTATGGGGACCACCGTCCTATTTGACCAAATCATCTATTTCTACCCGTCTCCTCTGATCCTACTTTGCCTAATTGCCCATAAACTTGTATGCCAAATATAAAGTCGATTTTTTTTCTTTTTAAAAATGGTGGCTAGGGAAAAATGGGAAATATTTTTGGCTAATAAGGATAGTTATATTAAAAATTGAGTAACTAATTGTTTGATCAAAAGATGTCAAAACCTTTTTGATTAAAACAACTAATGATAATGATGAGGTCAATTTTAGTCAAACATAATAAAATCTAAATTAATCTTAGTCAAGCACAGTATGAATAATGTAACAAATATGTTGGAATCAAATAAATGCTTATAAAATGTGAAGACTTAAATGTACAATCAATCTTAATAAATGCAATCGGCGTAGGGAGAGAATAAGTATGGGATGATTGAGGAATCTTTGGATCTCCTCTATATTGAGCAATGATATCAACTTTTGTTGTACGATCAATGAACAAGATTGCTTTTGTATTCACTCTCAGATGATTCTTTTACAAAGTGTTCTTTTGTCTTTTTCCTCCCCTCTTTCTTTTCTCTGCCCACTCTTCATATTTATAAGGGATAATTTCCCAAGAAACCCTAAAAAGTACAACATAGAGAATATTCGAAAGGCATATTCTTATTGTCTCCTACTAAGTCTACACTATCGTGGACGTCATGCATCGACTGACCGCCCTTGGTTGTTGCCTTTCACCACGACGACCATCAGACGGTGCATCATGATAACCTCGTTCCTCGTCCTACTCGATAATGGTCGTAGTTGCCAAATTTGGACCCATACAATTAGTCCCTCCACTTGTTGAGGTCGCGGCCTTGTGCGTCCTTGATAAGCGAATGTCGCCCATACTCGCGGAGAAATTTGGTTGTTGGGTTATAATGGTTTGACCAATAACGAAAGAGCGATGCGCTCCACGGTATCCTAAATGGTGTAGCCTATCGGAAAATGACGTCACTCCCACGTGCGTCATCATTACACGTATTCCCGAGGCAGACTAATTGTTTGTCGCTTTGGTTTTGGTGCCATAAGCAGCCTTCCGATTCAATTCTGGCGCTATCCAACCCTATAAATAGGTGAAGGTTTTGTTTTTTCAAGAACTTTTAGTCATTTCCTCTCTAGTGTATGTATTGTCTTCTTTGGTCATCTCTTCTAGTATCTTCAGCTCTGTTTTCATGATTTTTCTTCTTATCTCTTCCGTTCATCGTTCTTTGCTCTGCGCTTTATCAACATACCTTCTGCCATCGAGATGCCCAGAACACACAGTCACATGAAGAGATTTCTGACGCCACCCCGCTATCCACGACACCTCCCTCTGGTGGTTCGGAATGATTTTCTTAAAGAACTTGTTCCTTCTCCTGCTCCGGTGGTTTCTGAGACTGAGCAGGCTCACATAGATGACCTTCGATTTACGTACAACATTCCCTTCCACGTCGAGATGGTTCCGGCTGGGAGGGACTTCGTGGATGTCCACAGACCGGGATATTATGCTTTTTATGTATATCCCTTTGTGATCGGCCACTCCCTCCCTCTTATTCCGTTAACGGAGGAATTCTGTCGGTTTTATGAGGTCTGCCCGGCACAACTATCTCCGTATGCGTACAAGATGTTTCTGGTATTAACGAAGTACGCGGAGTTCGTGGGGTGTGAGGTTGGCCTTCATCACCTTTTACATTTGATTTCCTCTAGTTTTCACAAGGGCACTATGATACACTTGAGGCATCATGGGACCAGGGGCAGGTGGTCGGAACAGACGATCAGGCAAGCCGCAAATTTTGGCATAAATACTTCTTCGTTAGAACCGAGCATCTGGTGTCGGACCCCGCTGGATTCTCAGAACGATGGAATCATAACCGTAGGCGTTGGTACTTGTAGTTTACTTTCGTTCTTTCTAACTTTGTACTTATTTGTAACTTTCTCGTGCAGCTGTGAGGTGTACACCTCGTCCCATCATTGGTATCGAGGACTGGGTAGCCCGTTAATTACCTTACGCGGTGGAGATCGAGATTGGCCCGCTTTCATGAAATGCTTTGGGCCAAAGGTTCCATCCGGTAAATATTTTTCTCTGTTTTGACCTTTGGCTGTTTGCCATTGTTTATTGATACGACTCCATGTGATGACAGGTCGTAGGGCTTCTAGGAAGAAGGCCCCAGTCCTTGCATTCCGCAAGGCCATCACATCAGCGGGGATGCAATTTACCTTGGCTGAGTCCGTCCAAGGGGGCCGAGCTCAACCCGTACAGGCTAGAGACTCTTCTTGTGACATGATTGTTCGGGATGAGATCTCCTCCCGACCAGTCTATCACCTCGTGGATGAGCCCTCAAATGGGGACGAATCTTAGTAAAGGAAAAGGAGGAGGGTAGAACTCGGGATGGACGTTGCCACTGATACTGGTAAGAACAGAACTGGTGCGTTGGAGACAACACTTGTGCCTACTTTTATGGAGAATGCCATTTTGGCTGGAAGGTCCCCCCGAACCGAAGGAATATACCAAGGAGGGGGATCTGTGCGCTCCGCCGAGGGTGGTGCATCGTCTGCTGTCGGAAGAGGTGGAGTTGAGCATATCGGGGACGACGGTTTAGGTTCGGATGTCGACCCAGAAGATGTGCGAGCCTATTTGGAGTGACACAATCACGTAGATGTGAGGACGGAAGGCCCTGAGCGACACATAGTCATCCTTGGAGATTACGACTTGATGTCGAACTGCGAGTAGGCAGCGTCGGTGTTTACCCCTTTGTGTGTTGCTTCTGAGAGTGTGGCACTTAAGGCGATAAGCTACGCAGAGTTGTCACGGAGCGTTTCCGGCATGGATCTGCGGGTAAATGCTTCTCTCTTTTCTTTTTGTTTTTGGATCTGTCTTGTATCCTTAGCCCATTCTTTGTTTTGATTTTGCTTTTCATACTAGACCCTCATCATAGAGATCGAGCGTGAACGTACGGATAGGCGGAGTACGGCCATTTTTGGGAAGATGACCACCAAATATCAGGAATACCGCACCAAACATCGTGTGTTGGCCGATCTCTTTACTCAGGACAATGATTTTCAACTGTTCCGTGATAAGCTTAAGCAGAAGGAGAATTAATTGGCGCAGAAGGTCGAAGAGCTGAGAGAGCGAGATTGTTTAATCAAAAAGTGGAATTTTGGTCAAAGCTTTAATTTAGAAGAACACGGGTTACTGATATCAAAATTGAATAAAGAAAAGTGATTTTGCTAACAATAAGATAGACAGAAGAAAACAAAGTAAACCAGTATATTCAGATGATCTTTTGTGTCCTTACAAATGATCCATTCTCTCTTTTTTATAGCTATCTCAAAGATATACGTTTTGCCTTTGTCATAATAAGGCGATTATAGACAATTAAAGGCATTAAATGCTACGTTACATAATCATTGTAATTTAATACAGTTTCTCTAACATTTTTAGTATTAAATACTGTATTTGTACTCTCTTGTGCTGTCAGATTCATTCTCCTTGATTTTTGGGTATAAATAGGTACGAGCGTTGAGTCTTTTGAATAACTGCTCGTGCCTCTACTTGTACCTCTGCTCGTATCTATTGCAACTCGTGCCTCTTTGCTAATCATCATTCTTTGACCAGCCTTCGTGTCATGACACGTCATCTTTCAATCACTTCAATATGTAAACTCAATTTTTTCCAATACAGATAGTCCCCCCACTTGCCATTTATTCATCAATTGAATATTTGGGAAGTGGATTTTATTAAAGCGGGAATTTTTGCCACCATTAATGCTATTGTAGAATCAACACTTCAATGGTCACTTCCATTTAATGCTTATTACAAGTGGCATCTTTTTATTGGTTCTGCGAATTTGCAATGCTTTTTAAGGCTCTTTTACAGTTTCACCAATTACGAAGCGGCAGTTCTCATTATGACTTTTCCATCATTGTACATTTTCCTTTTACGGTTTCTTCTTAGTGTAAATATAGTTTTTCGCCTTTGTCCTTATCACATAAAGTTCTCTGAATATTCAATTCTTGAATTTTTGTTTGCTTCTTCCTCGTACTATCATGTCTTCATCAAACCCTAACCCTAGAAGAGTCCCCATAGTTGATAACTTTCCTCTTACCCCTAGCAGAAGCAGAAGAGGAGGTAGACTTCATAATTTAGGGTCTTCATCCATACGGGATTCTTCTCTTCCTTCATCTGGTTCCAGTCCTTCTTTTAGAACCAGAGGTTCTTTTTCTCAAAGGTCTTCTTCTAGAGGTAAGGAACCCTCTGAACCTATTCGTGAACCTACAGTAGAAGAAATAGTTCCTGCGGAACTATCTTTCTATAATGATAGAGAGTCCCTTAGAAACCAAGTGTCCTCTTTAGATTGTGCTGATATCTATCCAACTCAGATCACAGAGGGTTTGATTTCTTTAGTTCGTAAAGACTGTCATTGGAGTCATGACTTCCCTATCATAATTCCCAACGCGAATCATAGAATCACCTCCTATTTAGTTGGATTTTCCTTTGTTTATACATATCCTTTCACATTAGGATTCAGACCTGCTATTGATCCTATTATTCTCGAATTTTGTCGTTTTTTTATGTTTGTTTAAGTCAAATTGGCCCTATATTGTGGAGGGTTGTTGCCTGTTTGAGGAATTTGACTAACAAGACCGGTGTGCCTTTCACTTTTGCCCATTTAATTCACCTTTACTCTCCCAGACTCTTTCGCCAAGGTGTTTTTACTTTAGTAGCAAGGAGCAAAAGAGTTCTGGTCAATCCAGAAGATGATAGAGATCGTGGCTGGTATGCCAGGTTTGTTGCTGCCCTCACTGTTGGTTTAGTGGGTGATGGAAATATTCCCTTCCCCTAGAAGTGGAATTTTGCACGTGAGTTTTTTAATAACTTTCTCGTACATGTTTCTTTAATTTTGATGATCATTATTCTAATTTTCCTTTTCTTTTCCAGCAACTATGGGAATTGTTGACGAAATTCCCAATTT